TTCTCCTGACATTCCTAGTCACAAGCTTCTCACTACTTCTGTATTCGACTTCATCCTGTCGTCAATCGCTAGTAAGTATTAAACTTGGGCACTGTGGCTGCAGAGTTTAACTCCACTATAGATAATATTTCTGTTTTGATAAATCACACAGGTTGAATAAGGCATTTAGAAGACGAATTTCTCGAGATGATGCCTTCATTTCGTAGTTTCTTTACAACCGTTTTACAACTAACATGGTTAACAATAATAAAATAAAGATCATGACAATTACTCAGTTAAATAAAAAACAAAAGTGCACACTAATGACCAATCATATTTAAATAGGTCATGTAGTCCATGGTAGGCGAAGATTAATGTCTAAGATTGAAGCCTTATTCAAATTTATCAAAGGGACTAATTGTTTTAATTTTCTCTAACCACGCAGTGTTTGCTATACAGTAATATTAACTGATGACCACGTCTCGAGCACAAATTATTACCACTCATAATCATATAAAGGCACTCACACAGCTTTCTTCCTTTAATTATATATATATATATATATATGTATATACATGGGTGATATTGATGATTAGACATTTGAATAATAATAATAATAGTGCGTCGGTGGCACAGTGGTCAGGACTCTCACCGACTGTGCACATGGTCCGAGGTTCGATTCCCTGCCGATGCACACCTGCAAAATTTGGTCTACCGATATCCATGCTGAAAATTCCATACTTGTACTGAAAATACAGTGTGCAATCAAGCTGTAATAAAAAAAAATATAAAAAAAAATAAAATCAACATAAGATAATTTACATTCAGAAGTAATAATATGAGTGTTATCAATCAATTATAATCAGATGGGAAATATAGACGAGTGTTATACTTATAGTCATAATACGTAACTTGTTAGAATGTTGTGATGTGCTTGAATTGAAACAGAATTTTGAGATTATTTATTATCCTCCTCTGATTTAACTAGCGGTAATAATGTCTTCCATGTCTCTGGTATTTACATTGAGTCATTTCTGTTGCATGTGTTGTGTTGGGTGTAGACTCAATGAACCAGGCAGGATTCAGTAATCAATTTTTCTCTATCTCCACCTACCGATATTACTTCCTAGAATTTTGACCCTGTCCCCACCCACACTGTTGTGTGTTAATGCATGCAGTGCAACTGTTGAATTCCTCTTTTTAAATTACTTATCTTCTCTGGGTCAATCATTCTTACCTCAGCTAAATTCTTATGTTCTGATAATCTCAGTACTGTTGATCTACTGGTGTGATCCTGTGTAGTCGATCCTACTCACAGTCATTGCAAAGGTATTTTGTAAATTATATTATTTATATTATATAATTGGTTCAACCGACCAGGTCCTTTAGCCTACAGAGCTCATCCTAGCTGAGTGAGTTTGTAGGTTTAAATGCCACCACCCTAATTCCTGTTTTATTAATAATCCTACGTAGGGCCTCAGATGTTGTGTAGAGTAACTTGATAGGATCATGAACGGTAATAACTTGTGCTGGAAACATCATCAGTTAATATTACTTTATAACACTGTGAGATTTTATCAAAATAAAAATCTTATCTATGATGAAGTCACGAGTAAGCATTAGATTGCTTTTTACGTGAAGATTTATAGATTATTTTGAATTAATTAATTTATTGATTATTTTCAACTTAGATCATGAAATGAAATCACTTAAAACCAGGTAGTCATAGATTAATACTTACAGATAAAGCTGACTAGAGGTGATGGTATCTATCACAGTTAGGCAGAAGTTAAAATTCATGGATCATTGGATATGGTCACACTAATGACTGAATGACTGATGAACCTGCTTCAGAACCCAGAAGATTCCTAGTGAGGTCATGTTTGAGTACTACCGAAGAGGTCAGGATGAGAACGAAACAGCCATCCAATTCTCCTTAGTTTTCAATGGCTCTCTTACTTTCTCTTTTTCAAATGAAATTAAAAAAAAACCACTTTACTTCATCGCTTCCTTTTTATCTACTATATTATTTTTTTGGTTTTGAATTCATGAGGAACATGTGCAGCAATAACTTGAGAACTTCTTTGAGACTTTTTGAGTGGTAATAATACGAATTAAGTAAGTCTTTGGCATGAAAAATAACATCCGGATTTTCAACTCCAATGTGAAGTCAGTCAGTGCCATTTGCTATACGGATCAGAGACTTGGCCAGCGCGTCATAAAGAGCATCTCAAACAAACCACAGACCTTCATTAACAGTTGTCTTCGCTTAATACCACTCAAGATCAGATGGCCGGCCAGGAAAGATCAGCAAGAGGGATTTTTTGCGATGAGCGAACCAACCCAGCAGGAACCGATTGTGAAACAAATAGGCAGGAAGAAATGGAGATGGATTTTTTTTTTTTTTTGATTTACAGCTTGATTCCACACTGTATTTTCGGTACAAGTATGGAATTTTCAGCATGGATATCGGTAGCCCAAATTTTGCAGGCCGACCATAGATATCAGGTGTGCGTCGGTGCGGGCTACACGCTGAGGAAACCATCAGGTGACATCACTAGACAAGCCATTGCTCGAGTGGAACCCGAAAGGGAAGCGGCGAGTTGGTTGTCAGTACGAGGGTAAAATGGAGGAGGTTATGTGAAGAGGAGATGAACGGATGTGGGCAGACTTGGAACCAGGTGAAAACTCTAGCAGAGAACCGGACGCAATGGAGACGCGCAGCTGAAGCCCTATATTCCTCTAAGAATTAAAGGAAACAATCATAATAAAGTCCTTGGCTGTTTGAAGCAAAAAATAAACAGGATGTTGTCAAATATCGAGATTGCAGAGATTCTGGATTTATCACTGGTTTCAGAAGAATAAGCTTAATACGCAGAACACTATACATTGTAAATGATGCAGAATAAGAGAAAACGGTTGGGCGATAACGAAGGAGATCTACAGTGGTTAATCGGCGCCGAAGTCTATGAACAAACGTTGATATTATGTACAATAAATACTTATTCTGATCGTATTTCTTCAATCTTCTGCCAACCAGTATACGATAAGGCCTTCTTGTCTCTCGCCAATATGGACACAAGTTCGAACAAACAAAAGATTCAGTATTTACCAGCATTGGCAGATGTAGTTTGGAGCAGTGTGTATGTTTCGGCGACGAAAAGAAGTTATTTCATAGCTCAGAATTAAGCAGCCCACGAAGTCAGTTGGACATGGAACTGATAAATATCGAAGGCAAGGAAACTTTTTAATATGGTTTCACTAGAGATTATACTTATCTGTATTTGTGTTACTGATGTGTTCTTAGTTAGCACGATATATATGTATATATATTCATCAAATATTGACAGAAGTATTCTAAAATGTCAGTAAAGTAGATAAACAATTATTTTTACATGGATGTGTAATTTCACTGTTTATTCTTAGATATTTGATGGAATCTAATAACGAGAAATTTCTTTACGAAATACAGTTTCAGAACAAAATATTTAGAGCGAACAATTGTTTTCTATAAATTCTTCTTCAGGCTCTACAATTATAAATCTAATAATTTAAGTTTACAATAGCCAATCAGTAAAGGCAAATTAGAATCATATGAGAAAGTGTATTGTGGAACTAAGGAGTAACCAAATGCATAAATAGTGCAGTCTTAGCCCACCCCCTTTTGGTAGAAACTGGACACCCGATAAAAACTTGACCAAGCATTCTCGGTTATTTACCGCGTTCCTAGAGGAGCTCGACTACGTCTTCTATCATTAGCCGAAGTAGTTGCAATTAATACCAGAAGACCATCGCTTTGCATACAGAAGAAGTATGCTCAACCTCTTTGTTTACCTTGGCCTACAATAAAGCCAACAAATCCTCCATTAACACTAGAAATTCCTTTCACAATTCTCTTTTCTTCTCGATCAAGAAACTAAATCCGTATTTGAGGAAGAACTAGCTAAACACATATCTGTGTTCGACAGCTGTGCTCACCCTGAAGAAGCTTGGAAAAATATCCAGGCAGCCATAGATACAGCTGTAAAAGCTGTGAATAAGGTAAACCCAAAGGTGAGTAAAAACCACTGGATCTCCACCGCCTCATCCGAACTGATAGATGCTAGAAGACTTATTCCGGCGAGCTCCGAATTCAATGAGGAGCGAAAGCTGCACAAGAGGAAACTTACGAAAAGTCTCCGCAAGGACCGTGAACAGTGGTGGGCGACAAAAGCCAAAGAGATGGAGAAAGCTTCGAGGATAGGCAACACCAGGCAACTCTTTGGACTCATCAGGGAAACGGGTGGGAGAAGACAAATCATTAGTGAGACAATCTCGGAAAAAAATGGCACTATAATTAGCTCCAGGATAGACGACTGGATCGTTGGAAAGAGCATTATGAGGAGCAGTTTAATTTGCCCACAGCCACGCTCAACCTTCCGAGCATCCAACACCTCCCTGAATGGGATATAGACACAGGTCCTCCGTCACTAACTGAGGTTACTAAAGCTGTCACCAATCTGAAACTAGGCAAAGCAGCGGGACCTGATGGAATGACTCCAGAGGTATTTAAGTACGGTGGAGACAGCTTACTGTCCGGATTAACTGAGGTACTAGGCAGCGTCTGGGAATCAGAAGAAGTCCCATCGGGTTGGTGTAAGTCACTGATTATCCCCATATACAAGAAGGGAGACAAGTCTTCCTGTGATAATCACAGAGGGATTAGCTTGACTAATATAGTATCTAAAGTCTTAGGCTCAATAATCATGCGTAGACTGAGTGGTGCTCGGGAAGCACAAACACGAGAGAGCCAGGCAGGCTTTAGACCAGGAAGAGGGTGTATTGATCATATCTTCACCCTCCGACAGATTCTAGAACATAGGCATTCCTACCGGCGTCCAACAGTCATTATATTTCTTGACCTAAAGGCAGCATTCGACTCTGTCGATCGGGAAGTTCTCTGGAGATGCTTGGCTGTAAAGGGAATTCCAAGAAAATATATTGCACTGATTAAGGCACTCTACTCGTACTCATACAGCCAGGTGAGGGCTTACGGCGAGCTGTCATCTGAACTGATGACGACCAGTGGTGTCCGTCAAGGATGCCCATTATCTCCTTTTCTATTCAACTTCATCATAGATGTGTTAATGGACTTAACCCTAGGTGACTTCAGCGACTCAGGGATTGACTTGCTACCGGGGAATAATCTCGTTGACTTGGAATATGCAGACGATATAGTCCTTCTAGGCGAAGACGCTGACGAAATGCAGAGTCTTCTAAACACCTTGAGCCGCAATCTACGAATGTTTGGCATGCGATTCGCTCCCGCCAAATGCAAGATGATGTTACAGGACTGGACTACATCGACGCCTAGTTTAAAAATAGGAAGTGAAGTGGTAGAGCACGTTGACCGCTTCACTTATTTGGGAAGTACCATCAGCCCCAACGGGCTGATCTCTGACGAAATCTCAGCACGAATACAAGGGGCTCGTTTCGCATTTGTTAGTTTACGCCGACTCTGGCGTAGACGAGATGTTCGACTATCGACCAAAGGGCGGGTGTACTGCTCATCAGTCCGCTCCGTCCTCCTTTATGGTTGTGAGACCTGGCCACTGAGAGTGGAAGACATGAAAAGACTAGCTGTCTTTGATCATAGGTGCCTGCGTTCTATTTCCCGTGTAAAGTGGCATAATAAGGTGAGCAACATGGAGGTTAGGCGTAGAGTTCTAGGTAAACAGGGGAAATCAATCGACGAAGTCGTGAAGCTACAAAGACTGAGATGGTTAGGACATGTGTTACGTATGCCAAGCCATCGCCTCCCTCGACGAGCAATGTTAGCGGATATAGGGTCAGGCTGGAAAAAAGCTAGCGGCGGTCAAACAAAAACTTGGCATCAGTCAATGAAATCCACAACAGTTGGTCTAAGCCACGTAGAAAGGTGTAGACTTCCAGGCTGGGGTCCTCGGGACGGTAAAAATCTATGGTTGGAAACAATTGGTGACATGGCTCAAAATCGTTCTCAGTGGCGCAGATGCATCCACTCCCTGTGACTTATGATCTTCAATGAAACTGTTTTGTATTTCTTTATTACTCCTTTGTCTCACACCTCTGCTCACTGTTTCTATTATGCTTTTCTTGTACTTTCTTCTCTTGCTTCGCGTGCTACACGGAATGTGGCGACTTGAACTTCCGCACATTTGTGCAAAGTTCTATGTCGAAAACAGACAGAGAGACAGACTTTTCTTCTTCTATTCCTTTGTTTCATTGACAAACGTTCATTTTCGACTTTTATGATTTCATGACCTTTCTTATAATTTCTATTACCTTAGGTTTAAGTAGTGCTTCTCTAACTTGCTATCATATTTACAAAATCCTGTTCATTCCACTTCATTATATTCATTATTATTATTTGGCAATCATTCACCAATAGTCCTTGTAATTTTACACCATATCATCGTTATTATTTGACAATCATTCTTATTGCTGCCATTTTCAAACTTGAACTTATGTCCAGTCCGCCCCATTCGTTGGTTTATTTTCATATTGTCTCACACACCATGAAGACACTCACTTTGGAAACCTGTGTTTTTCTGTTGACTATATTTATGTATATATATACACACACATCATTACATTAAATTACTTCATCTCATTTTGTCCCATGTCCTCATTGACCACGCATATTCAAAAAACTAACTGACTATTGTTCCATCCCATCTTACTTATACTTGTTCCACAGTACACTTTCTGATATGATTCTAATTCGCCTTTACTGGCTGGCTGGCTGGCTATTGTATGCTCAAAATTAATGGATTTACAATCATAGAGCATGAAAAAGAAGGATTTATCGGAACCACAACTGTTCGCTCTAAATATTTTGTTCTGAATAAATTATGGGAATATTCAATTTATTGAAATACAGTTTTCCAAGAATTGGTTTCTTGTAGGGAGTTTCTTTTTGATTGGTTGGTTGCAGGATGATTTCATCATGAGCTGATATCAGTTAGAGAACCATTGGAAAACCACACCAGAGAGTACTGGGAAGTGAGCTGTTTCGTCCTAGTCTCTTGAAGTTATCATCAGTACTAATTCACCACAGGGGTTTGAACCCACGGCCTCCCGGTTACAAGGCCAGCGAGCTTGTAGACCATTCATCAGCACTGGGACTAGAAGCACTTCTAACTTCTACCAATTCATGACATACAGTTTGGTTATTTTTCTTCTTATATTACTCGGCACTATTCGTTTTGGAAAAAATCAAAGCATTCAAAGAGGATTAGATGCCTGATGTAGTTTATATAGCAAACGAATTACATTTCAGGGAAACTTAGTAACTTTCTAGTAACCTATTAAAGTTGATGGTTTGATGATAGTTTAAAACAATTTTGAACTGGTTGACTGTTATTTCAAAAAAAGGCGATTGCAGAGAAGAAAAGTCTCTTTGAGATGAAGTCATTAACTAGGCTGTACATATGTGTATTTCTAGTAAATGGGTGACGGAGTTCCGGGCTATTTCCGGTCAAGTGTCAAATTAATAAAATTACACAGTGTAATCAACTGGAGGATTGGATAAAAAAAGCATATTATCATTATATTATTATTATTGTTTCCTTAGGTTCTGAGTGGAACATAGGCGGCTTCAACAACACATCTCCACTACATTCTGTCTTCTCCTGTCCTCTTCGGCTGGCTAGCTCCACGATTGCTTAAACTCTGTTGCCCTCACACCGACGATCCACACGTCGCTTCCCATTCAGGTTTCCCTCCAGCCATGGCCTGCACATGTGTGTGTGCGTAATTTCATTCGACAATCTCCTCAGCATATGCCCAATCCATCTCCAGTTTCTTCTACATATTTGTGTGACACATCAAACATAAATCATGCACACGCGATAGTCTCCAGCCATTAGTCTCTAGTATTTTGGAGACGGCAGCCGGTGCAACAATCTACGCTTTTTATACGTGGTTCAAGTCAACAGTCGACCGATGCGCTAGGATTTTGATTTAACAACCCCTAACTACTTTTTTTCAACCTGACCCTGTGCCAGATAATAATTGGTCATTGAGAAGATCAGAGGTTTAGCATGCTTAATATGCGTTTTAAACATTTAGTCAAGGCAGTTTCACACTCTCATCGAGTGACTACGTGTCTAGCACTCTGTCCCTAACCTAAAGGTTATTGACTATATGATACCAACCATCTAACACCAGGGATAGAAAGCATAAACCTTTGGTGAGAGATAATCAATCTTCTATTGTCATCCATTTTCAAAAGCCATGTCATATAACCACTAAATAAATCTGAAGTGGACTGCTGTGCAGTACTGAAATCCCTAATACCACGTCAGCTGAAGTTGCAAGTGAAGCTTAGGTCCCACAAGGGTTTCCAGCTAGTGACATCCAGACTACTGATTGGAAATTATACCAACCAAGATAATATAAACTGTGTGATGACTATCTTAAAACATTCCTTAGACAATCAAGTGTTACATTTACGAGTTCGATAGCCTTGTAACCGGAAGGTCCTCGGTTTTGACCCCGATGGGTGCGTACCGATGGAGTCCTAAATTAGGCTGACGAAGTAGCTGCCCAGTACTCCTAGAATGGTTTTCAATGGTTCTCTAACTGATGTCATCTCGTGATGAAATCCTCCAACCTATCAAATAAAATTCCCTACAAACCAATACTCGAACGTCATTAAAAATCAATCCCAGGTACACTGAAGTGATATATATTCAGTCGACATTTGTTGTAAAATCTGGTTTTGATAATCTACTCATATATCATATGGCAATGAGTTTGTTAGGCTGGCTATATTCACTGAAAGTTCCCTCTGCCTAAATGGAGATTTCATCTGAACTTCACAGGTCATTTTGTTACATGAGGAAAAGGACCCTGTCAGTTCCCCCCCCCATGTACATGTGACTGTAAGTATGAGCAAATCAATACATACTGTTAGAGGCAACATGAAGACTTCCAGTATTCATGTGTATTCCCTTGATCATTATAAACCAACCCTTAACTTCTCTGCAGGATAAATTAAAGAAATACGTGAGTTAATTCGATAATCATTTTAAGAGAAAATCATTTCTACATCATTGAATGGGCTAATCTGAAGAATGTATTATTCTTTGTTAGATTACACGTCTGCCTTTGACTCTGTTGGTACCTAGACGTCTTTTATTAAACAAGCATGCTAAGACATCAGCTTAATGCTGAACTACTAAGTGATTGCATTCCTATTTTTCTCATAGGCGGTAGTACGCTGTTAACAATAGGAAGTTCTGTACTGCTTTACTTACTCTAGTCGTGTTCCTCAAGGAGCTGTTCATGACCCCTTTTCCGTTTTATTTTCTTCTTATATGACTTGCGCATTCTGACGAAGTCAGTTTTGTTAAGTATGCCTATGAAGTGATTGTTTCTACGCCGGCGGTTACTTCTCAGTCAGACTATTCCAAAATATTTAACTTTTCGTTAGAAATTAGTCCATAGTTCTTGTCAAGTCGTCTTAAGCTTAATCCCTCCAAATGTCTGGTGGTTAATTTCACTTTCAGATGAAAGCACGACTTGCATAAACTGGTTAGTTTTCATGGCTCCACTACCATAGACGGCATTGAAGTTGAAACTAAATTGAATGTTTAACACCTTGGATTGTGTATTTCCTCTGATCAACTTTCGTGATCTTCCCATATCATGTTAGTTTCCAGGAAGATATTTCGTCTAACATTCTAAGTAAGGAAGTTAAAACGACCTGGTATCATTCTCTCCCTACTGTTACGGTTTGTTAATTCTTGTATTTTGCCTATACTTCTTTACTGCTCCCTCTTAATCTTTCCCGGGCTACTTAAGAAAAACTTTACTATAATTTACAGGGCACCAAAAGCAATAAGTAGGGCGAGTGGGGTATTGGTAAACCAACTTGTTAATACTATTGTAGATAGATACATGGACTCCTGCAGGGAAGTAGCAAATATCATCTAGTCTGACTCTGAACATCCTCTCCAAACACAACTTTCTCCATGCATCTCATCAAATAGAACTAGAAGTAACTATATAATAATAATAATTTGCTTTATTCCAAAAACAGTACTTATAATGCAGAATGGAATTCTCAGCATTTGTCACAATACCTTGCATCTGATTTACTTAAAATATAAATGACATTAAAAATTGAAACTAAATTTAACAGAGGAATTTGTCCACATTTACGATATAAAGTCAAAAATATTCTAAGCACGAACTAAGGTCATTAAATATAATAATAGTAATAATAACAGTGAGTTTGTTTCAAACAGTATTGTCGATTTAGTTTGGAAACTTTAGCATGTTATAGATTATTGGATCTAATGTTCTGTTTATATAGCAGCATGGTGAGGGAAATACAAAATTAACAGTTATTCACACAGGTTAAATGATGTTCACACTTATGGAAAGTAAATAAATAAAAACAACAAATTGAGAGGATTATAAATATAAGAAATACAATTGGCGTCGGTGGCACAGTGGCTAGGACTCTCGCCAACCATGCACATGGTCGAGGTTCGACTCGCTGCCGACGCACAACTGATATCTATGGTCGGCCTGCGAAATTTGGGCTACCGATATCCATGCTGAAAATTCCATACTTGTACCAAAAATACAGTGTGGAATCAAGCTGTAATCAAAATAATAATAAAATAAAATAAATAATAACAATAAAGTTTGGTACTGTAAGGGTGGAAGAAATGGTTTATTTATTAGTGCGAAGAAGGTTAGTTAGATCATGCCTGATACCATTTTCATCACATAAAGTACGTGCCGTGAAATATGGTAAAGTGGAATTTTTATACTTAGACGTACGTGCATATAGTCTTCTGAAAAGATTTCTTGTTTTACCTGAGGAGACATAAGGTTGGAGCTGTGGGTATAGTGGGCGCTCAGAGTCTGACAGAATTCCTTTAGCAAATTTGTTACGTGACATTAATTGCCTATCCGTGACAATGTCAACGATATGGCCCAATGGGATACCAGTCGCCCTATGGACTGACAGTCTTCAGAGTTCTACGAAGAATGACATAGTCTTTTTTAAGCAATCCAGGAAAGAATGAGAGTGAACAGTAAAGAAGAATAGGTAAGATGCACGAAGTGACAAATTGTAAGAGGAGGGGTTGGGTTACGCCTGAGTGCCTCAACTTCTTAATGTAAAAAGTCAGACAAAATATTCTTTTATGAATCGCTAAGACATGGGAAGACCAGGATAGGTCAGAAGTAAGAATTAATCCAAGATTCTTAACTTCAGACTTGATTTCTATATCAGTGTCATCAATTTTGCAAGGGTCATTATGAACCAACAGCTTCATTTACCTTTTGTTTACATCGGAAACTGAAATTGACAGTCTGGCATTTGGAAGGATTTAGTTTAAGACCATTGGACGAAGACCATTTGCTAATTCCTGATAGAAAGCTGTTCATCTTAGCACAGTCAAGCTGGGAGATAACAGACGTTGAAATAATTAGATCATTGGTATACTTAACAAAGTTCATTTCATCAGAGTGAGGTGAATCATGCAAAAAGAAAGAAAACAGAAAGGGAGAAAGGACAACGCCTTTAGGGACACCAGCATCAGTAAGCAAAGAAGTGGACGACTTTCCCTGACATACAGTTTTATTGATTTCTTCCTGAGAAATAAGAATGCAGCCATTTGACAAACCAACATTCAGTTTGAGTTTCATCAAGCTTGTTTAACAAAATGTTCTTAGGCACTGAGTCGAAACGAGATGTGCAATCTAGGAAGGTGCAGCGAAAAAATTTAGCCCCCTTGTGTAAGCTGGAGACAATGTTATGGTACAAGACTGCAACTGCATCTGAAGTACTTCTACTCTGTTTATAAGCGAATTGTTTGGGATCGTTAAAGGATTTAAGTGAAGGTTGAAGACCGTATGTATAAGACTGTATGCTCGGACGACTCAGTACAAAATCTCTACAATGCCTTAATTAGCACACCTTTATGATGAGGAAAGTGTAAGACAGGAAATTACCAATTCACTGCTGAGGAACTCTAATGGCCCCATTTTTTTTAATTGTTACATTGTTGTTAACATTTTCACTTAATTTCATATTCACATTATTGAACAATATTGTCAATATAAATGCCCTGTTATAATTATTACCCCTGTAATGAGAAAGTTAGATGCAATACTGTGTTGCATGCTGGAAATTCCATATTTGTAGCAAAAGTGCTGTTCACAATAAAGCTACTATTATTATGATTGTAGGCATTTGACAAGTAGCGTTGCACCTAAGGTTTGTGCTTATTGGCACATTTTTCTGTGTTATAATGAATACCCCATTCAGTTTGTTAATTAGTATTTCAAATCGAAAAATGAACAAAATATTTCAGTCCAGTTCAATATTTATTCGACAATGTTTATTGTTACAAGCAAAATTATATTATGTATAGATATATCTACATTAATTAGTGCAAAAATAATTGTATATAAAAGTTGAGGTACTTATGAGTAGTTAGAATATAAATGTAGCATTTTCCTCGACTGATCAATTAGCAGTATATATATATATAGTATTTGAAAAGAATACATTAAATTTCTCATTTAAGAATTGACCGGCAATATATTAATCTTTGAAAATGACTACGCTTGCCCATGAAGATATGTGTATAAATAAATGTGATTAAATCAACACCTAGATCGTATAGACTCTGTTCCATTGCATTCCAATCCGCTCGACTTCAATGAATGTATGAATGAATGAACGAACGGATGAATGGAATTAATAATCTGTTCAGTATAAAAGGTATGAAAATGATATGCTGAAGGAGAAGAAGTTACTGTTAATTTAAAAAGAAACACTGCTTAGTTTTTGCAGCAAGCAGACAAACAATTAGATAGGCAACTGCAACATCCACAACAGCATAAACAAATGAATAGGAGGATAGCAGCTACAGCGATAGCACATAACGTCACTGTCAATGGCCACCAACTACAAAAAATAGTGAAAAGAAAAAAAAAAGGATAAATGGATAAGCACAATGAATGATCTGTTAGTGTTCATTTATATAAACTGAGATAGAATAAACATTTGTGGATAATAATAATAATATAAATCGACTTTTTATTCCTGCGGTTCTCGTCAGTTGTGTACAACAAATATCTGATGCTCGTTAGTGACCTATTCAGGCAAGTGGTTACCTGGGTTATAATGGAAGTTCGTGACCAGTCGAGTACAGCAGGTTGTGTGGGGACGAATACTCGCCATTGACGACATTACCAAGTGCTGGTCGCGCTATACCGTGAATTGATAGAAGCTGGAACTCATGGGTTGGTCATTGGATGGGGTCCCAGTGGCCTAACGGTCTACGAGCTCACCTTGTAACCGTAAGGTCGTGGATTTGAACCCTGGCAGTGGTGCGGGTGCGCGTTGATGAAGAGTCCCAAGAGACTAGGGCGAAACAGCTGGCTGTTTCTCAATAGTTCTACAATCGATGTTAATTCATGATGAAATCCTGAAACCAATCAAATCCCTGAAAACCAGTAATTTGAAGTTAACTTTGAAATATGGTCAATAAACTAGAGAACTCGACACGCTGTATACACTACTTATTCCATTGCACATATATGTGCATTCACTGATGTAGGCTCCGATCTCTGAATGGATGTTAGTTATCAGACTAGCGGTTCAGTGTTTGCATGTTCACCCAGCATGTAGATGGTCCAGGTTCCATTCCCAGATGGTTCACTACGAAACTTCACCTAGTTTTAAGTGATCTATAGTAAGCCTGGGAAATAAGGAAGGTTACAAGTGAGTTTAGCAACGCCACACCATAAAGCCGTCATTGACTGTACTGAAACTTCAAAGCTGGAGCCTATTTGTTCCACTTGGAAGGCATTCAATCTAGAGAATTGGTATCCATTCAGTGATCTGAGCCTAATTCATTAAAAGTGAAATAGAATAAATGGTGTACAGAGTATGACGAATTCCCCAGGTTAATGATCACATTTTGAATTTCTCCTTTAACGACAGGAAGGATAGTAGAGAGTATTTTTGAATGCGTTTGTATACTTTTTATTTGACCTCTTCGAAATTTGTCATACGACGTCAATACAACCAACCGAGTGGTTCGCAAGTTTGTTGAGTTAACGACTGCGTGACTAGTAGATTTGCAAGCTTAATACTCTAATAACTATTCACAATGATAATCACAACAAAGCGATACCACTGACACGCGACGCAAGCGAGGAAGAGGAGACAGACGGTTGAGTACAGAGATTTTACTGTCTCAGATTAACAGTTCAGCTAAACATATTGTATACATACATATTTAAAAAGATAGAATTAATTGGTCCAACTTCACTTATCGAGCATTATTTGAGTAAGATAAAGCAACTAGTATACTTAACATCGGTCATTATATATTAACAAGAGATTAAGAACATATAACAACAATACTAGGGGTATATAACAATTTGGACAACGAAAATCTCTTTTATGGCAGACAGACTTACACGGTTTTTTAATTCCTTTACGTTCCTAGTGGAATATAGGGCGGCTTCAAGCTAGAGACTTGAAGTTTCTGTAGCAGTGGTGATTATTTTTACAGGATGCGGTTGCTAGCCAGCCTAATGGTCAACCTTCCATCTTTAACAGTCTTACTACTAACTTAGCGAGGTAAAGGAGTGCATCAGTGGCCGGGGAGCGAACCCCAGACCGCCTGAGTGGTCGGTTAGCACTCTACCGCTGTGCCACCAACCTACATGTATTACTTCAAATCACTTCTTTGGTGTTCTTATTTTAACCGGTTAAATTTGTTGTCCAGTGATATTGATTTAATTTATTCATTAAAAAAAGACACAATTAATGATATTAGATGGTTGGAGGTAATCGGCCACAGGAAGCCTTGGACCTAGGTTGGAACTCGCCAGTCAGCAAGGCGTATCTGCAACCTTGAAGGAACTCTCAGTGGTAACGTCTCTGACTGCAGCAATGGGTGATGCGGGTTCAAATCTCAGAAGGGACATGAGTTCCTTCAACGTTGAAGATACGCCTTGCTGATGAGTGCCAACCAGCACGAAACCTAGGTCAGGGAAGGCTTCCTCTGGCCGATTGCCTCCAACCATCTAATATCATCAAATCAATGTGCACCGTGATGGCGAGATACCTAGAATGGTGGCCAAATTGCAAACCTGACTGATAGAATTCAGTCTGCACCAAACAGAGGACTAGACACATCAGAGTAAAGACACATTTTAACTGTAGTAACAGAGGGTTTTTTGAAAAAAGAGGCGGTAAGTATGAAGAATGGACGTTTTTAACCAACGATGACAAGCCAGCTAGTTCATTTCAATGCATAAACTCTATTATCGTTGTGTATTGTGGTTTTCTTACTGTTACCGATAAAGTTACCATGACTACTGTTTGTGTTTATATAACTCCACTATAGACTTTCTGAATTAAACACGCCAAACGGTATGTCACACAAAATCCCATAGTTTGCATCTGAGAGCTGGGATACTACCCGGACTACTAAGGGGTTACCCCTTTAACCTTTGACTTAAATTCTGACCCATAAGACAGTGTGGATCAGCGTCAGGAGCTGCGTTCCTACGGTTTATACCAACCGAAATCGGTTTATATGTCATTTGATCTTTTCGGATTCTGGAGTCCAAGTACACCAGAACTATATCAACAGTGATAAACTTCTCTTATGCAATGATCAATATTTGCAGATATGATCATGACGATTCGTCCTCTTCAGCATATTAATGTGACTTATAGCGTAAGAAATTGAATTCGCCAAAAACAGTCTCTTTCCTGAACACTGTAACCCAATCAGTAAATATCAATTTAGATTTCATTGTGAGATTAGTTTTTATCGAAAGGAAGCCAATGGTTCTCTTACTGATATCAGTTTGTGATAAAAACCTGCATTAAACAGTTCAAGAAATAAAATAAATGAACGGCGCGTTGTGATTGGTGGTTATCAATTAACCAATCAGACATTTCTGGCCATTTTAAATATTATAGCACATAGAATATGTACAATGAATGCATCACTGGATAGATGATGAAACCAAGTGTACATATGACATTTAGATATAGATAGAATTCCAGTCATTAATTTACTGGTTCAGACACCGCTGAACCTGTCAAGATTTGGATGACTAGACAGTAGCATTACTTTTCATACCATAAGTATGGCTTGTTGCCGACTGCATGGATTTGTAAATGATTGTTGGGTAACATTCTTTCCTTCCATATATATTCAATTTATCATTCTTAATTCTTTTTTTACCTATCTTTTGTCACTGTTTCTACTGTGTTCAACTTTATACTACTTATCACTGGTAAATAATATGAGTATGTATTTTTACATACTATATTGTTACTCTATAGTCAAAAGTATAGTTTTCGATTGGAATTTGTCCCACTTAAGCTCTGTTTGATCTGTTTAACTGTATCTGCTAAATATGCTTCGTTTATATTCCACTCTCTGTTGAACACTGACAGAATTCCCCCCCCCCCCGAAGCTTTTGAAACGCACTCAGAGACTGCGGCAGATGTGCTCACGCCATTATTGCAAAAGGTTTTGAAAGAAGGAAAGGTACCTACCGATTGGAAGAATGGCTGACTACCAATGAAGAGCGGATTAGGCATCACTCTGCAAGAACTGACTGCTGTAGAATGATGCTTTTGTCCACTCTAAGTTAAGTACTAAGTCGCCTGATCCTGGAGAGAATAAAAAATGCACTCCACCAACCGCAACAAGCTGGATTCACGAAAGGCAAATCATGTGCTGATCAAATTGCAAATCTACCCATCACAGTCGAACAAGGTATAAAATGGCAGTCAGTAGAGCACGCTGACCAATTCAGTAATTTGAGAAGTACCATCAGCCCCAATGGGTTGATCTCTGACGAAATCTCAGCACGGATACAGAGGGCTAGTTTCGCACATGCCAGTTTACGTCGTCTCTGGCGTAGACGTGATATCCGCTATCGACAAAAGGGCGGGCGCACTGCTCATCAGTACTCCTTTATGGCTGGCTGTGAGACCTGGCCATGGAGAGTGGAAGACATGAAAAGATTGGCTGTCTTTGATCATAGATGCCTGCGTTCTATCTCCCGAGTGAAGTGGTATAATAAGGTGAGCAATATTGAAGTTAGGCGTCGAGTTCTAGGTAAGGAGGGGAAATCAATCGACGAGTCTGTGATAATACACCGACTGAGGTGGTTAGGACATGTGTTACGAATGCCTAGGCATCGCCTTCCTCGACAACGGGCAATGTTAGCTGACATAGAGTCAGGCTAGAAGAGAACTAGCGGCGGTCAAACCAAAACATGGCCTCATCAATCAATGAAATCTCCAACAGTTAGCTTAAGCCAGCCAAGTAGGAAGTGTAGACTTCCTAACTGGTTGGGGTCATCGGGACGGTAAAAACCAATGGTTGGAAACAATTGGTGACATGGCTCAAAATCGTTCTCAATGGCTGGCTAGCGCAGATGCATCCACTCCTTGTGACTTATGATTTCTAATGAAACTATATTGTTCTTCGTTATTACTCCTCCTTTGTCTCACACCTCTACTTACTGTCTCTATTATTCATTTCTTTTACTTTCTTCTCTTGTTTTGTGAGCTACATGGAGGGAGTATGGCGACTTGAACTGCCGCACATCGGTGCAAAGTTCTATGTCGAAAACAGACGGACATGGCAGTCAAATCTCTACATCAACCCCCTTCGTTAATTTCGAAAAGGCCTTCGACAGGCAGCGTTGACCGAGAAGAAATTTGGAAACTAACTCAACACTATGAACTGTAGTGTCCTCATTCAAAATCTGGCTGTATGATGATGCCTGACATGTATCAGGTGATCCACAACGGGAAACTCAGTGAAGAATACAAGAGTAAGACAAGCTGGTTGGCTGCTTATCTACTCTCACATGTGATTTTCCCGTATTGTCGTAGAGTGGTTCATGCGTCAGGCTGTGGGTAGCAAGAAGACAAGGAATAAACTGCAGTGACCAACAAGGAGACTCTAGAAGATCTGGATTTTGCGCGTGCATGATTTATGTTTAATGTCGTGCAAACTCGAAGACTCACAGGCGAAAATCAACAAATCAGCTGAAGTAGCAGACAGCGAAGAAATGACTCCGGATGAACATATAGAGGGCGGGAGTGAGAGAGATAACCAACTAGCCAGCCAGCCAATCAACCAACAGCAACAACAACAGCCAGCACCAATCACCATCAATGGGAGAAATTCAACGGAGGTTAACCTTCCTTCACTTATGCAGCCAGGAAGCATTTGTTTTAACCACAGCTATAGAAATGGATGAAGATGTCAAAGTAAGAATGGGAAAGGCAAGATACGCCTTCAACAACCTGAAATCAGTTTGAGAATCTTCCGCGCTAAGCATATAGGGAGAAGATTCACATTTTCAATACCAATGGGAAGTCCTTCTATACGGGTCAGAAACGTGACCATTGTGTCACGAAAAGGATTTCCAACAGGCTAGTGCAGACTTTCATCAACAGATGCCCACTTTGCTGGTTCTCTACTGAAGATCAAATGGCTACAAAAGAATAAGCAACAAGAAACTCTGGCTGGGAATAAACCAAATGGCGAGAGTCGGTCGCTTAACAAATATGAAGGAGAAAGTGGAGATGGTTCGGGCATAGGCTACTGAGGAGGCCACGAATGACACGGCACACAATGCAGGCCGTCGCTCAAGTGGAATGCGAATGGGTAGCGACGAGTGGATGGTCAGTGTAGGCGTGACATAGAGGAGATTGTGTGAGGAAGATATGAGAGAATTTGGTCAATCGTTTACCAAGCTAAAGAGGACGGCAAAAAAACAGAATGAGGTGGACATGTGTTGTTGAAGCCCTGTGCTATACTCCGAACTCAAGGGGAATAACAATAATAGTAATAATCAAAAATGATAATTAAACCACAAATATGTAACAGATTTACCGAAATTCTTGACAGCATGCCGGATTACCAGAAAAATCCTTACAACAGTAAGTTGAGTGTAGAAATGTGTCTCCAACATTGCACTGTACATTATCTAAAAATGATGGAGAAATTCATTTATATATATATGTCATACACGTCAGGTTTGTTGTTTAAACTGGTGAAAATCAGACAAATTCTCATTCAAAATAGATACGCTGCAAGATTTATCAACAAGTGGTTCAACAGTAGAATGCCCACCAGCCACACGGTAAGTCTGGAGCACTCTTAGGCGTCACCTAGCCCATAGTAGTAAGTGAGGAAAAGAGTGTATGTTGGGCATGAGTTTAGCAAGCTCAGTCGGTTAAAAGCCGCACCATCGCTGATGAGAATTCAAAGCTTGAAGTCTTCTGTTCCGGTTGGAATGCAAGTGAATATAAAAGAAGGGGAAGATTCATCGAGAAAATACATGAAATTTTAGTAGTGGCATGATGGAATACACGTAGTGTTGAAGAAACTGTGATTTGTTCAGGGATCTCATCATGAGCTGACATCAGCTAGAGAACCATTGGAAAACCACCAGGGAGTACTGGGTAGCAAGCTGTTCCGTCCTAGTCCCTTGTGACTCTTCAGTAGCACGCACCCACCCCACTGGAGTTCGAACCCAGGGACGTCTAGCTACAAGGCCAGCAAGCTTGTAGACCATTACGCCATCGTGACCTCATCCAATGACCAGACTATGAATTCTAACTTCTTCGAATCCACGATATAGCGTGACCATTTCTCAATGTTCTCTTTGTTGCGTAACTGTCCTCACCTTCAACCTGCTGTACCCTACTGGTCACTGCTTCCCACTAGAACCCCAGGTTAACTGCCTATCTGAATAGGGCAAGTCACCAGTGAGCATCAGACCAGTTTTCTAGTATTGGGTTTTATAGGGATTTAGTTTGATTGCTTGGAGGGTCCCTGTGGCCAAATGGTGTACCAGCACGCCTTGTAACTAGAAGGTCCTGGGTCCGAACCCCTGTGGTGGGTGAGTACTGATGAAGAGTCCCAAGAGTCTAGGACTGAACGGTTGGCTACCTAGTACTTCCTGGCAGTTTCCCAGTGGTTCTCTAACTGATGTCACTTCATGATGAAATCCTGTAACTAATCAAACACAATCCATACAAAACCAGTATCCAAAATTTGTATTCAAGAAGATTTTATCAAGTGTACGGAGCTAAGAAAACCACCGCTTGTGCATTGGGCATTAGTTGTTGCTTAAGTTAAGCTAGACTGAAATTACTGAGCGATTTGATACAGTAAAATCAACAACATCACGAAACTCAAAAGTTTTAGTAGATTTCAATTTACTTAAAAAAATTTGGTCAAGGTTTCAACTTTTAATGATTTAAAGCAGAAAGGTTTACATATGTCTTCCTAATATGTCTTATGGATATATTTGTATTATTATTATTATTATTGTATCCTTTAGTTCCTAGAGGAACATAGGGCTTCAGCTGCGCACCTCCATTGCCTTCGGTTTTCTGACAACTTTTTCACCCCACTCCAGGTCTGTTCACATGCTTTCATCTCCTCCTCACATGACCTCCTCCAAGTCACCCTTTCACTGACGTCCAACTCGCCGCCTCCCTTTCGGGTTCCACTCGAGGGCTTGTCTGCTGATGTCACTTGATGGTTTCCTCAGAGTATGGCCAGCCAATCCATCTCCATTTCTTCCTGCCTATTTGTTTCACAATCCGTTTCTGGTTGGTTCGCTCCGAGATCCCTGTTGCTGATCTTTTCTGGCCATCTGAGGATATATTTGTAGAGAACATTTTGTAGTGCAAATTATCAAACAGGAAATTTCAAACAAGTCTTAAGCATCGTGTTTTACACTTTCTAGGCTTGTTGTTGCCTTATTCTCTGAAATTAGCTGGATCACTTATAAATAATCCTCATCTGCCTATTCATTTCAGTGAATAGATGAAAACAGAACAACTCCTATTTGCACCCTAAAGATATTTTATTTCCTGCTGAATTGGGATTATTATTCCATTGGGTTCCAAGTGGAACATTGGGGCTTTGGGGCTCCCATTTACATTTACTTCTGTTCTCTTAGATCATTTTTTTTAAACTGACTCCATGTTTGCCTACATGTTTCCGTTTACAACTCTCAGACAACGTCTTCCAATTCCACCCTCGGACTCATGACTAACTCATTGTTTCCCATTCGAGAATCAATCGACGGTCTGTCTGGCTCGTGATTTCACTCAGAGGTCTTCTGAGAACATTATTTACAACCTGTCTCCCTCCATTCACTTCGGCATATTAGTTAGGTAATTGGGCCGTGATTGGTTCTCTGACTTCTATCATGGTCACCTGATTGATTTTCAGTGTCCAACAAAGACAGCTGTTAGTGAAAGTCTGCAATATATGTTGGATTCTTCATGAAAAAAAAATTTACTGTTAATTTACACAGGATTTCATCATGAGCTGACATCACCAAGACAATCATTAGAAAAAACCACCAGGGAATACTGGACAGCAAGCTGTTTCATCCCAGTCTCTTGAGACTCTTCATCAATGTGCACCCACTACAGAGGTTCAAACCCGGGAACTTCTTGTTACAAGGTGAGTTAGGTCGTAGACCATTAAGTCACTGGGGCCCAATCCAATGGTCCATGAATTCCAGCTTGTTAATTCATCATACATTGAATTTACGTGGTTCACATAAATAGATACATATCGATTTCAGTAGTTTAAGGCGCCCTCTTTAAATGATACAGACTACGGGTAGTTAACGCTTATAACATTTCAAAATAATTGAAAACCTTTATTTCCCGATACGAATTTAAAACAAACAATAAAGTTTTAATAAAGCATGATTTAATGATTCATCGAATTTCGGTAGGATTCTTCCTCAGCTGAATACTCTACATACACGGATATATATGTACACACTATTGAAATTACATTGGTAGATATAAGACTGATAAGTAAACAAACTACATTGAATTAGTCATGCAGAAAGACAGGTGAGAATGTTTTCCAGGTCATGTTCAAATAGATAGATAAGGGCAGAGAGAGTATGAGAGATCAAAATTAAGATAAATTGCATTACGCTTCAATTACATCACTTAGATAAACAATTAGTCTTTAGAGAATATAACAAGAATTGCAAACAGAGTAATATCAGTAGTAATAGTTAAAATAACAATAATAATAGTGATCAACTCGTAAAACATAACTAATCCTTACAAACCAAAAACTATAGAAAGTTAATCTGATGCTCTCTAGTGACTTGTTACAGGTTGGAGTTTCCTGAGTTCTAGTGAGAAGTCGTGACCAGTGAGATCCAGTTAGATGTCACGTGTGTGGATGGATGTCCCACCAACGACAATGGTTGGGGTCGCGCTAAATCACGAATTGGTAGAAGTTAGAATTCACGAGCCATTGAATCGGGTCCCATTGGCTGAATGGTATACGAGCTTGCCTTTTAACCGGAAGGTCCTGTGTTCGAATCCTGGCAGTGGGTGCGTACTGCCGATGATTTCCAAACTAGGATGAAACAGCAGCTGTCCAGTACTCCCTGGTTTTCAATGGTTCTCTAACTAATATCAATCCGTGATCAACTCGTAAAACATAACTAATCCTTACAAACCAAAAACTATAGAAAATAGTAATAGTGTTGAAGTGAGTTAAGATAATCCTACCGATAAAAGATAGTTTTAAATGAGTCAAGAATAATAATAATAAGAGGTAGAATAATAAGTAAAACGTATTACCATGGTAGATTCAGAATGACGACCATCTCCTTTTGTACACAGAGACCTGGTTTATAAACTCGAATTGCAAAAGCCTTTGCGATTGCAAGCATCTTCCTGTTTCTGACAATAGTGAATGACTTGACAGCGTCAGTATCATGTCTATAGTCCACAAGATGTTTTGTTATTGAGGATTTTGGCACTTTGCACTCAGCCGTTTTTAACCACTTTGGCAAATTCCCCATCATACGAGTAGACAATCGCCTTTCTGTACGACCTGTGTATTTGCTTCCACAAACACACTCAAATTGATATACGCAGTTTGAAGTGTCCAGGATTGGTGGTTGGTCTTTTCCAGATTGTTGAAGCACTCGCTTAGTGGTGTTAAGGAAAACAAGTTTTGCAGCATAACAAGTTCTCTTGATGGCTTTGTCGAGTCTTCATTTAACTACTTCCTGTACATCATCATCGTTTCAGAATAAAATTCCTCTTCATTACTTACAAATGCAAGTCAATCAAAGTGTAGCAATCAAAGCCCGTTAATTTTGGTTTGATTGTATCAAAAATTAATGCCTGCATCCTTCTATATAGTTTGCCAAACGTCCTCACAGTAAAAAAACTGTATCCCAGCAATAACAAAGATACTCTCTGATGGAAAAGAATGTGTGGTATTATTCAACTATAATAACTCATATCCAAAAACTCAAAACCGTTTCAACAACGCCATCCGGTAGCTATTCAGTTCAAAAGTTTCTTTGCTAATTCATGAGACACAATGTAAAAAAAACATCAGAATCATAAAGGACATTCTCCACAAAATGAGATCAGAACTCTATTGGAAAGAATTAACCAGAATAAAACACATTTATCGCAGACAATCTAGGGTTGAGAAGTCACTTCACAATGTAACATTGGCATCGTTCAAAAACGTCAGAGATGTGGAGCAACATACCATCACCAACGATATTCTTAATTGTAGGGGACTGGATCATGCATGCGTCAGACTCTGAGTGGGGAGTAGGAAGACGTGATTACGCTATACTGACCGATGAGGACTCCCACCAACCATGCACATGGTCCAAGGTTCGAGCCCACGCCGACGCACACCTTGATATCTATGGTCGGCCTGCGAAATTTGGGCTACTGATATCCATGCTGAAAATTCCATAGTTGTACCAAAAATACAGTGTGGAATCAAGCTGTAATCATAAATAAATAAATGAGAAGACTTTAGAAGGTCTGGATTTCTCTGACGACTTATGTTCAGTGTCACACAAACTTGAAGACTTGCAGGCAAAAACCAACAAACCAGCAGAAGAAGCAGACAGCGAAGACTTGACTCCGAGTGAACATACAGAGGGCAAAG